CTGTTTGTTCGGAAATGTCAAAATACTCAATTTTACTTAAACTTGTTCAACAAAAAAATTTATTTTTTCTGTGATACCTGAAAATGGCGGAGCAAGCTATAGTGTTGAAGAAGAAGTCATGGTCTATAGCAGGGGTCGGCAACGTATGTCACACGTGCCACATGTGGAACACGGTACAATTCTCAGAGGCACTTTGCACTACTCAACAAATTTGTAATTTTTTTAATTCTTTCAAAAATGCTCTACTATGTGGTTCTCTGAATCATATTTGTAGATTGGTTTGACACGCAACAGCTAAAAGGTTTCCGACTCATGGTCCATAGACATGAAACAACTATTCGACGGCTAGTTGCCCAAAATTCGAGTCGATGCTGCTAAAAAAAATGTTTTTTTCTTTACTGAAATTACTTACTAGAAGTTAATAACTGATATAAAAGGCTAAAATTACTACTAAGAAAGTACCCAGGGACTATTGGTTGCTGAATGGCTATGATGTGATGTTTGCGGAAAATAAAGGTAAACACATTTAACCTGTTAAAGAAGGCGTCAGTACCATAAAACAATGTTCCTCAACCACTGGTCAGAGACCTTGCTGTAAAAAAAACGAAGGTGTATACAATGGTACAGAGAAAAATAAGTGATTATTTTCCACAATAAAGGTAAAATTGCGACATTTTTCACGGCCGCGGTAGCCAAGTGGTCAAGGTATCGGACTCGTGGCTGGCTTGTCATGAGTTCGAGCCCAGTACCACAGAAGACCCGCCGTGTAGGAGCGCAATGCACGTTAAATCTGTCGAGAGCTCAAACGTTCTCCCGTTGGTGTGGTAGTTAGAACAGGGGTGCCAACTCAAGTGTCGTCCTCGTCACTTGACCATGGTTCAAAATTACGAGGTCCGTCGCCAAAAGCTGAACAGTGCGACGTTAATATTCACTCACTCACGCGACATTTTGCACTTATTTAGCTTTTCCTTCAAGCACGTTTCCCGCATCTGATGATTTTCAATATTCATATAGTGTCCGGTTTCATATACTGCATGGATCGCATTAGGTGGTTTTCGGTTATCCGAACAATCCAGTATCCAAATAGTTTCCGGTCCCAATGGATTCGGATAAACGACGTTCTACTGCAAATTATAAAATCAAAACATTTTTAAATATAAATAATCAACGTCTCACCCTCAGCGGGCCACCGCAAAATTATCAAACGTTGACCGGTTCGGAAATAAAAATGTTGGGAAGAACTGCTGTACAGTATTAAGTCAAGGATTCTTTTCTTTTTTTTTCATTGGAGCTGCAGATTGGTATTTTTACCATTTTCAGACCTAGTATATTCCCCAGGTGCTGCTATCCCTTTTTAGGGCGGTACCATGTGGGCGATACCAATTGCCGCCGGTAATTTTGACACCTAGTTTCCAGCTCTGACGATGTGAACTTGTTCTAGGAATTTAATTTGCCTAGAGCAAAATTAAATTCCGAATTCTGGGGATGCGTAGAATTCTGAAAGAACTGTCAACCAAATACAAAAATGTTACACGTTATGATATTGAAATTGTGCATCCACCTTTGTGAACCTTGCCAGAAAAAACAGAAAATTATTTAAAAAACGGTATTGTAGAAAAAACTCTGATTTTTTTTTTCCGAATGCCAATACATTGGCACTTGTAATGAGTGGGAAATAGGATGGTTTCTATCTACTTGGAACTTCTGAAGGAATTTGAATACAAGTATATGCGAAATCAGAATTTAACAATATTTTTTTTTAATGGCAGTCTCATTATTTTGTCAGAATAACATTTGTACTTTTAGGAATGTAAGTCCATTGATATAATATCCTTATCATTACCTTTTTTCATACTTTGCTTAAATAGCTTTAGGCATTCTATAGAATGCCTAGGCAATCTATACAATGCCTAGACAAAGTATGTAATAAATCTCATATTTCATACTTTGCCTAAAAAAGTCCGGCATTCTATAGAATGCCGGCATTTCATACTTTGCCTTTAACATATATAAAATATTATAGTTGCCGTCTAGGTGGCGTAGTTGGTTTGGCGCTGGTCTTGTACTTCCAAGAATACGGGTTTGACCCCAGCCTAAGTCGGTGGATTTTCATGATGAAAAAATCGACAGCATGTCCTATGATTATGCGTCATGTTAAAGATTCCTAGAGTGCTTGAATGCTCTCAGAAAAGTTAAATTTCTAGTGCAGTTTCGCATCGTCAGAGCTCAGGTACCCCCCCCCCCCAGGGAGGAAACAGGACGTCAAAGTTTCATGAGGCAATTGATATCCACCTATATGGTGTCACACTTACAAGGGTGAGTCGGAAAATAAGTTTCCCCTGTCGACTGTGGTCAGAGTTGTGTATGGAAGTTAAAACATACAATGAGACATTAAAGATAAGACATCACCTTATTTTTCCACATAAGCACCAAGTACATTTATAAATTTGTCATACCACTTGATAAGTTTCAAAAAGCCCTCCAGGAAAACTTAGGGCTCTATTCATCCATTCAAGTTCAAATACTTTTTTTGCTTGTAGTGGCTGACACTTGATGTTAATACAGTGTTTTTCAAATATTAATTAATTAAATTAAAAAATGAATAAATTGTAACAAAAATAATAGTCCAACAGCATATACAGAAAGGAAAATCTTTCGTTATGTCCATGTAGCGCGATGGATAGCACGTTGGACTTCAATTCCAAAGGTCGTGGATTCGAATTCCACCTAGAATGGCCTAATTTCAGAGAACGTAATTTTTTTTCCACTATTCTAAAAAATTAAATTTAGTTAATGAATAAATAGTAACAAACAAACAGAAATAGTCCAACACCATATATAGAAAAGAAAATGAAAAATTGCAAAGAAAATCGCTTCCTATTTTGTCACTTAAAATTGTGATTCTGTCATTTGTATATATATATATATATTTATATTAATTGTAACTCTTTAATAAAAAGTAACTTAAGTAACATTTTTCTTTGATGACCTAAGTAAGAATTGACTTAAAATTTTTTTTATATGTTACTTCAGCGCTTCTCAAACTGTGGGACGCACCCCCCCCCCAGGGGGCGTGATAACCCCAGGAAAGCGAGCATATTGAAAAGTCGAAAACAAAAGATTATTTTTAAAAATTATTAATTTATTGAAAGTAAACAAACCACGTACATTCTGACTTAGAAAAAAAAACATCTACATTGATATAGTATACTTATAAATGCATCAGTACTGTACAATGTATTTTTAAATTAATTTAACAATACTAAGTTAAGAATAAGTTTAATAATTACCTTGGACCCTAAGGGCTTTTTAAATATAAAATTATATGCAAACATTAACACTTACCTTGATAATTTGTTCGGTTTTTAATAAATCCCTTAATTGTCGATTAAAAGTTATGTGATTCGCTCCTCAATGCCACCGTTTATTATGCATGCAAACGTGTGGGATACAGGGAATAAATAAGAAAATCCTTCGCAAACACACACTATCAAGTTCATTTTATTGCATTCCAAAGCCTTTGGAATAATTTTATAGATAACAGTGAACAGAAAAGATTGTATTCCCGAAAAACGTATATATATGTCCGGGGCAATTTACGCACTCTCTGAGCGAGACGTTTATATACGCCGGGGGCACTTATAAGGTTAAAGTTGTATTGCAGCTTTAGCATTAAAGTATCGTATTATCAAATTCAGTACATTGTTATTGTATTATGGCTGAAAATTGGGGTGCAAATATTGAAAGTTTGAGAAGCACTGTGTTACCTGTTTCTTCATTAGAGTTAAAATCGAACAGAGTTGATTGCTTCTTAAATTATTATTATTAACAAAATTTGTATCCGATTGTAGACTCGTGTAAAAAAACTTCCCTTTTTTCAATTCCTACTATAGTTCACCCTCTCCCTATACTATGTGTGTAGTAAAAAGTTCTTCAGGGTTAGTTTCAAGTGTCTTTTATTCATGGTCACAAATATATGAAATGTAATATCATTTAGAATAATTAATCAATAAAGGCACGAACACTTAGCAGAAGCAACAAGCAGCAACAACGAGGACATGTTTTTGGCGTGCAGACAAAGAACAACAAGATATCAATCATTGGCATAGCCAAGTAATTTTAGCGCGTTTTTCACATGTTTGTATTTTACAATAATGCAACTAATGAACTTTTTACTAACAGAAAGTAGTGTGTACTGTACTACTAATCTAAATGTTTTCTGAACTATTTTTGTGAAGATTTCCTCCAAAATGCAGGTAGATTTTTTTTTAAACAACTTTTTGCAAACAATATATTTACTAGGTAAAATTTGAGAAAATTTTGTTATAAACTAGCGAAATTCAGGAAAATTTGTAGGAAAATTCGGGAAAACTATGGGAAAATTAAAATATAATTCGGCTCATCTAGGGCACAAATGCGACCAAATGCCGAAAACCCGAGGCCAATTGGTTGCTTATTGGCTGAGAAAAAGGTACTACAAAATATGGAACGAAGACGAAAACGAAATTTGCGTCCTAATAGCTCTTTTGTTCCACTACGTGAAAAACGCGCTAAAAAGAACAAAGAGAGAGAGAGCATACAGTGCTCTGGGTTTATATACTGATGGTGAAGTCGTGCGACTCCTTTCTAACGGGAGTTTTAATTGATTGCAAACGCGAAGAATTAATTAGATTAAGATTAAGGTTAATACATTAGCCTAGTACCAAAGAATTAGAAATATTTTATAAGGAATTAATTTAAAGAATGCTAGAGAGAGTCATTACATATATATATATATTTATTTATATATAATCTAGTTCAAATTTTCAATCATAAAAAAATACTTTTTATTCATCCACTCAAGTTGAAATATATTTTTTAAACTTGTAGTGGATGACACTTGATGTTAATACAGTTTTTTTTCCAAATATTAATTCATTAATTTTTTAATTATTGAATAAATAGTAACAAACAAAAATAATAGTCCAACACCATATACAAAAAAGAAAAACTTTCGTTATGTCTCTGTAGCGCAAATGATAGCGCGTTGGACTTGTACTTCAAAAGTCGTGAATTCGAATTTCACCTGTGATGGCCTAATTGAGAGTGTGGTTCCTTTTTAACACGCTTTTATAAGTTTCACTTGTATGTAACGGAATCTTGGAACTCGAGTTTTACCCACATAAAAAGATCAGATTAATTCGAAATTTTGCACACTTGTCAAAGACCGATGGCAATACAATAACTTCATAGTTTTGATCCATTTTCTTGATCAAGATCATCTGGAATAACAATTTCCTGATTTGGTGACTAATTCAAGATCCCATTTCCTGATTTGGCGACTAAAAGATTAAGTTACAACCCTAATAAAGCGAGAAAATGTGCTTCAGCAATTTCTTACCATAATATAAATAAATTTCTAGTTTTTCTGAAAATGGAAACTAAAGAAAAAAAAATACTCGTGCAAGTAAAGTTTGTTTTTCTAAATTCTCTTGTTGGATCTGATGAATGAAACATCATTCATTGCTTTATTTTACCAAAACAGCTGATAATTTATTCAGAGGTCACTGTATTAACATAAGTTTCAGAGAGAATATTGAGTTCTTTTTAGTGAAAAATATCATTGACTTAACACCTTCTTTTACATAAAATATTTCAAACTTAGCTCTTCCAGATTTCCTTCAGTTGGCTGATCCTACATTCTGCAAACCAGGCCATATCGAAGCACTGATAGGATGCCAATGGGTATTCCAGATTCTAAAAAATGTCACATTTAAGATTAATTCATCAATGAATAAGTGACAGTTTAAAAAACTAAAAAATATATGTTCTAATTTTTTAATTTCAAATTGTTCGAAAAGTTAACACGCGGCTCGATGTATCAGTTCTCAAATATAAAATTCCAACGTCTAAAGTGAAAGATTTTTTTCCCATTAGATGATCAAATAATCAAATCAAAATGCAACATACATATTTGACTGTATTCAATATTCAAAAAATAAATTTTTTCTTTAGTTTTCAAAAATTCTAGTACAAATTTTTTGCCTTGCCCCTACTATCTTCAGAGCTGACTTCGAGTGGACAGCAGCCAGGAATGGAATCCCCCAGCAGGAAAGAAAGGCCCAGCAGGAGCATATCAATTACAAAAGACTCACTTGCAGCACAGGAGACCGAGGAGTTTGGAGCGGATAGAGGACAGCCTTAGGACAAGGTCAGCCAGTACCGAGGCTGTGGTTGGAGACGAAACCTATGCAGATTGGTTCTAAGATGGCTAGATTGTATAATTCTAATTTGTTTATTTTCCCTCTGACAGACAGTTCAGAGTATTTTCAATGTGGGCTAGTCTAAATTTTTGTTTTGTAAAATTTAAAGTGTACACAAGTTGACACTGCGTTGGTGCGTTTTTTGTATTGTTTGAAAAATGAACTTTTGTATTTAACATTTTTCCAAATTGTGGAAAAACATTTGTTTGATTGCATTTGTTTTGCTACACATTAAAGACATGGCTTTATATGTGAGTTTACTTGTATTGTTTGTTGTAATATATTGTATGTTTGAAAATGTATATATTTTGTGAGTAATTATTAAAATGTATAAGTAGTATCTGGTTTCGGGACGCGGCGTAATAAGGATAACTAACAATAACATTAACAGCGCAGGGCGATTGGTTGGGAGTTTTTTGAAAATGAAACCAGATGGAGGTTGTGTTAATATGGAAATTGTATAATGTTATGTGCATTTAATGTCATATTTTGATACAACAATTGATCCAGTTTCCTTTCAGAATAGCAGTCCCTGAATCTAGTGATGAGATGTAAATTGAAGATAAGGCTGAATGTCGTATGAAGATTGTATTGTAAATTTGCTTAAATTTTATTAGTACTTAAGTAAAGTGCATGATCAAGGTTTTTTTCCCTTGTGTCAAGGTTTTGCCCTGATCTTCGCCCGAATGGGATGCAATGTAGGGATGTTATGTAAGAGGTAAATAAATCTGGTAGAGTGCCCTTTAGAGTAGTTATTTTTGTCTATGTTTGTTCAATTAAAATTGTTGAGTTAGAGAGTTCAAATTTTAGTGCAGGTACATCGTTTTTCAAGTGTTAGGTATTTAACGTAATTTCTATCAGGTCGTTTAGACCCTCGAATAAATCCCGTTTTTTTCTCGGAGGGGGTTGTGACGGATCTACACAGGTTTCTACTAATTACTTCTTTTATTTTTAATTCAAAATATTTATTTCAACCAACCTTCATCGAGAAACCAAACGTGATTTATGTAAATAAGGAATATTATGTAAATTCGGTTTTCGCGAGTTGAAGAGAGCGAAGTGAGAAGTCAAGTTAAGTAAAGTGAAGAGAGTGAGAAGTCGACACGTAGCTGTTGACAAGTTAAGCGAGGCTGATATTTTTGATGTGAGCAAAGAGAAGTGGATTCGAAGATTGAAAAGCATTGAAATTATCTATTACGGAGCGTGGAGTCTTCGTCAATTCATTCAGCTAATTTGAGTGCCTCAAATTCTCCGTGATGGATCTGCAGCATTAAGAAACAAGGTACCTTAATTTTAATTAAGTAAAATCTGATTATTAGTGAGCGGCGTAGTTGTAAATGTGCGCGTTTAAGCTATCTTAGATTCAGTTGAGGTAATGTAATATTATTCCCGCTTGTACGTTCTCACATCTACACTCTATAAAAGTTATATACCTTAATTAGAATTGTGTTGTGTCTGTTCTTAATATCTGATAAGAATCAATAAATCAGTTTGAATTGGAATAATGTCTTTGGATCAATTCGTTCTTCCAACACATTTAGCCGTGTTTTCAGATAGAGAGGAAGGTATTAATGTAAGGGGTGGCTACAGGTCACCACAATTCTAACTCTCAAACACTGATGGATGTGAAGGAGACATCCGTCACAATAATGCCGAAGCCGACAATGTGTCTCAACATACGATGCAGCGTATGTGGAGTACTGTGTGAGGGACTACACAACCGGTGCCTTACGCTGAACAAACGTCGTTGTCAACAGCACCTCTAATGGCCTGTGGCATGTCGGTATTGGACTATAAAAGGATAGATGAAAGTTGCTTGATCTGAGAAATCACGCTTTCTGGATAATTGCATTGTCGTGTGGAAATACGCCGATATCCAAAGGAAACTGTCAAAAATCGTTCTTGATTTATGTATGTAGGAAAGGAGTGCAAGTTTTCTTTTACTCCTTTTGATTTTTATTGTAAGAGATGGCACCACTAATCGAAACCACGTGAGTTTTAGCTGCGCGATACGATGAGGTCATGTATTTATGAGGTGGCAGAAAAGAAGCTGGGAGTTGCACCAAAGCTTGAACGAAGGCAGGTCAGAGGAAATTGGTCTCTCCGTTGTTTTGAGAAAGAGTACGTGTTTTCGGAATTTGTATGGTGCTATCTCGAATTATTTAAAACCCCTTGTAGATAGTAAATGTTTTAGTTGTGTTTTTAATAAATTAGGTTATTTTAACTCTGCGTGCTTATTTTAACATTAAAATCGAACCTTCCCCTAGACGCCGTCCCACAAATTGGGGGCTCGACCGGGATTTTTTAACTATTCAAAGTTTTATCTAAGAGCATTTTTTAAAAGTTTTACCTCCTCATCGATTTTTGATTTCCTGAGTGGTACATAGACCTTGCCTTGCATCGAATAGAGACCCGGCGAAGCCTTCAGCTGGATAGGAAATTTTACGAGCGATACGGAAGTCTTACGAGCAATATGGAGATTCTGCGAGCGATACGGAAATACTTCAGCAAGAACAGTCAACAGGAGGAAGGGTCCATTGACTTGGTTAGAAACAAAGAATCTTGGCGAATTTCCACGTCAGCTGCAGTCAACCAAAACTGGAAGCCCAGCGACTCAACGAGATACTGAACGAATTGAACGGGATTACCTTGATCATTGAGGTCAACACTGACGAGAGAACCTTTGGAACTACATCGAATTGCGAGTTATCAACACGAAACAAGATTTCCTGTGTCATCGAGGTCAAGGTAAAGTGTCTTCAGAATTACATTGAATTGTGCTAGTATCCTTTTTTTGGTATTGTGTGAGTAATAGGCGAAAATTAAATAAATTATTTTGTGCGTATATTTCCTGTTCTGTGAATCTGAAATTGAATTTTGAAGTACTAGGTACTATTATTGGTTTAATTGCAGACAGAGATATTTGATGTTCTTTTAGTTTTGGATAAAAAACTGAGTACTTTCCGTGTTTTTTCTTAGTAATCTATTTTTGATAAATGAGAGGAACGCGTTGTTTTTTTAATAAAAAATAAAATTGATATTAACTATAATACTGTTATGTTTTGCAAAAGGATTTAAGTTCCGGGAATTCTTTAAAAAGTCCATTTTTGTCTATAATTGTTTAGAATTGATAATTGCATCTTATTTAAATTATCTTTTGTTTCTGAATTGGTGAGTAAACTTTTCTCATAGTTTTGTCTCATTTAACTTGGGAAAAAATTTAAGTTGATCTCTGGGTCACCATTCTGAGTATAAAAATGGCATTCTTACTCGTGAAAAAGAAAGAGAATTTGGTGTCACTCGCCGAGGATTTGGATCTTACTATCGAAGCAGGTATCACAAAATTGAAGTTAAAGGAGCTGATCGTAAAAAGCCCAGATTACGTTGAAGACGATGTTAAAAAGATGCTTAATAGCATAGTGGAGGAACGTACAGAAAGAGAAGAGAGAGAAAGGGCTGAGAGGGGGAGAGAGAGGATATGCGAAAGGATGAGAGAGAAAGACGAGAGTACGAATTAGAGAAGTTGCGAATACAAGCGCAACAGACTGCCGGTATGCCGAATAACACCGAAAACGTTCAAGCATCGAATAAACTGCTTCACGAAACTTTTCATAAGTTTAATATGAAGGAAGATTACGAGGACGTCCGAAGAACTATAGGGCCAAAGCAGTTAAACTCATTTGCTAAGAGATCGAACAATAACGATAATTGTTCTCAAAGGCAAGAACGTTTTCACCTTGGAAATAATTGGAATGATAGAAAATGCTTTCAATCGACGAGAACTTACGATAAAAGAGATAAACAGGTAACATGTAGCTACTGCAGGGGACC